CGTTTTACTTCCACTTCATTTGTTGTGATGGAAAAGAAAAATTGAAGCCTAAAAAGATTATTCACTTGGCTGATGTTGTTGATATTACAAAAGCTCATCTTAACAGTGCAGTACAAAAACAAACAAAACAGTGGAACAACTTCTCTTTATAGATTCCCATGAATGTGCTCCCAGTGTCAGAAACAGGGGAAAAGAATCCACAGCCTTTGTTCTGTGCAATGAAACATCCCAGTTTGTGTTTCCACAGACAGGGTTTCCCCACTGGGCTTCAGATTAAGACAGAATTTTACACTAGAATGACTTCATAAGTTGTCGACTTATTTCTCCAATATCAGCCTGCTGAAGCCTCGTATTAACGTCAGGTCGAGTCTGAAACATAGTTTTCCTCAGAACAAGGACTATGTTGTCGCCATCATTTACACTTGAGGGTGCATGTTAGAAGAAGGATCTTAATAGTGTCAAGTGAACAGGAGGGGTAGCTGACCTCTTAGTGAGGAAATACTGCACGTATGTTCTTGGATAAGAGTATTTTAAAAACAATACAAGCAGCAGAGAAGAACCGATCCCGCAGAGCAGTAATAAATATAAAGCCTATCCACTTTATTTCCACCTCTGAACTGTGCAACTCAGTTTCACCTGATGGAGCTCGGCAGCTTCATGCGTTTCCATCTGTACTCTCTCTCCCTGTAATGTGCCCTCTGATGGGCTCTTAGTAATGAAACCCAGCCTCCTGATGTTAAGCAGCCAGTCTGGAGTGTCTGTGACTGTACGAAGGATGCAGGCACCTCTGTGTTCTTATGCAAGTTTGACATAAGAAGAGTTTAACATCACATCCAGAAAGTACAATCCAGGTGGACTTTAAAATCTAACGTCCAGTCTAAGGATGACACATTTCTGTGTGATACATCTGAAACCAATGATGCAGCTGTCATGACATAAAACTAAGCCGATGAAGAGATTGTTTCCCAGAAATCAGATATTACACTGATGTGTGTCAGAATGATGAACATCTGTCCAGTTCAGGACGTCATATCAGGCATTTTTCAATTAAAGTTAAAGATACAACAACTACTGGCTGATTGGGCAGTGGACTTGTAAGCTTCTACACATAGAAATCAGGACAAAAGTAGTTTTCTGGTCTCTGATTTAACCTCTTAAGATCTGGCGTCCACATGCATGGACATCACATTTTGGATTATAGGACCACAGTAGTTTTTTAAAAAATTTGTTTTTATTAGTTTTATATATATATTTTCTTTTGATTTTTTATTCTCTGCAATTTGATCAGGTCAAATAGTAGAAATAAAAAAGGCATATCAAACAAGAGCTCAGGTCTTACGAGGTTAAAGTTGGCTTTTAGGTTTAGATTTCTTCTTTGAAAATGATTTTTACTTGTTTGCTGTTATAGGTCCATGAATAAGCTCCACCACAGCATCTAGCTTTAAGTAAAATGCACAAAAAAAGATGATTCCACTGATGTTTGTTCTTGTTTGTTTTTTAAATGTGGAAATTTTGCAGTTATGGTGACAGCAGTTTTACAGAAATTGATAAATCTTGATTTTGTCGTTTACAAAAAAAAGACAGATGCAGCTCAGCGAGACCATTTTAAACTCTTTACTATCCTGAAGGCAAGTCATGGGAAAATAACATTTGAAACATGAATCGAAGTCATACATTTGGGAATCTCAGTTCACAGCTCTTCTGTTGTGTGATGAACAGGATTCTTCTGCTCTCATCTGAACCTGATTTTAATCTTTTCTTTAAATGTACATTGTGTAAAGAGCCACTACTATGATCTGTCACTTCACAGAATGCAGAAGTACAAATACATTTTTAAGGAAACAACAGGATTTTCTAAACTGAAATGACCCTGGCTGAGCGCTAAAATCTCTACCTTTAGGAAACAAAGTTCAGTACCTTCATGGATGCGCCACAGTCCTGAGTGGGAGCTGATGTCCTCGAAGTCGCTCGCGTTCATAGGATTCATTTCTATGATGTACCAGTAATCGGTTGCGAGGGAAGTCGCCAAAACAGCGAAGCTCAGAAGACCGCACATGCCAGCTGCGATCACCAGAGAGCCGAAGGTTACCTTCATCCTGCTGCTGCTGCACAGGCGGAGATCTGATTCACGCGTAAAGCTGATGGCTTGAACTCATGCGTAAACAGGCTTCCCGCTGCTGATCAGTCTCTCAGACGTTCATTACGGGAGACAAAATAAACAGAAACGCAATATGCTGGTACGGCTGTGCAAAAATCTTCAGTGAAACCTTGAGAGCGAAGATGGATATCAACTTCTGCCTGCCTGAATGAATGAAGCCACACAGCTGCACAGTCTGAGCAGCAGCAGCAGCTTGTGTCTGGGAGGGACGTGGATTTATATGCGGTGCGCAAACGTTTACGCAAAGCACAAACGGAGAAGATAATAAAGGGAAATGGGAAGGCTCTGCAGTCATTTGCACTTCAGTGAAACAAGATGCATGCTTCCTGCAAATGTCATATGGGCTGAAAAAATGAGCAACAGTGGACACAGTTATCAAGGAATCTGTGTTGAGAAAAAAAACCAACCCATATCCAATTATATAACCAGACAGCAATAAAATTAAAAACTAATGAGTAAAGTCATTTGTTTGGAGGGTGTGTATTGTAAAGTTCTCTGCTGCAAATCAACACCAACAATGAATAAATAGGGCAGAAAAAGATAAAGTTTAATGAGTAAAAACAGATGATATGAAAGCAGAAAGATAACAAATATACAGAATTACAAAGACGACAGGAAGGAAACATAAAATGAGTTCAGAGAGGAACCAGTCAGACACCATCTACAATTATTCTCTCTCACGCTGCACATCTCACATCTCATCTGCATCTATTCTAGTGTCACTCTTCTCCCATGGCAGTCTTGATGATGTCTGCTCTTCTCAGCTTGGCTGCCTCTTCAAACTTGGTGATGGCCTCGTTACAAGACTTGTTCTGTGAGTGAAGGGGAAAAAAAGAGAGAAAAGAAATTTGGATCAGTATTGAAGAAAATGATCCTTGTTCTCACAGGAACATTAGTGGTTTTGTATAATTAATTTTGCTTGTCTGACATGTTTGTAACACAGACAGATAAAGGAGTCATTAAAGATTTCCATTGGTTAGCAGCACACTGTCTGAGATAACTATCTTAAACAGCTAATTGGTTAAATTATGCTTTAGATAAGTCGGTGAGTCAGAAGTTATGGTTGGATTATGGAGAACCTACACTGATAAACTTGTGTCTCTCCTTCTGTAGTTTGAAGAATTCTTCCACAGTCAGCTCTTCTACTTTCTTCTTCAGGCTGATGAAGTGGCAGGAGGGGGAATGAGATTTGTGCTCCTGTCTGGAAAAGCAACAAGAATGAAGCAAATATTAACGAGGAGACATTAAATGTAATGTTTTAACAGCGTGTGATAGCAGAGAACCTGTCATTCATAACAAGGCTTATTCATTAATAAGGGTGACTAGAATATATAAAATAGAAACAGGAGTGATTAAATCAGGACGCTCTCCTCTGTGTATGTGAAATCCACTGAGATTGATCAGTTCGTCTCCTGTAGCTCTGTCTGCTGTTCTTCTCTGTTTTCTTAATTTTTCACTGTTCTGACACTTTTATTGCCCACTAAGGTCCACATCTTAAAGCGTTCATTATTGTTTTCCAGATTCTATTTCAGGGTAATCTATGGCTGCCTTCTAACGTAGCCACTAGCCGCTAGCCACTGTGAGAGGAGCTAATTTCTTGGTTTGTGGCTTGTGTTTCAGTTGTTGCAGCCTCTGCTTGAGAGACATTTCAGAGACCACAGAGTGACGGCAGACAGAGAGAGGAGGCTGCATCAACCCCAAATTGCGCATTTAATTAAGTAATAATTGGTCAATAAAAAAAAACCAACGATAATCGGAAAAAAGCCATATATCAGCCAGGCTGATAATGGGTCTATCTCTAGAGGAGACACATTAGTAATTTCAAGGACCAAGTTCAAACTGTGCAGACACAAATAAAGAAGGAATTGTAACATGGACATAAAGGGGGTTGTTGTACTGTTTCCATCCATCATCCACACAGACAGTGGATGTGGGAAACACCTGTACAGACAGTTTCAAAGTTTATCCACTGTGGCTCCATTGTAATTAGGGTTGGGACTAACAACTCTTTGAATAGTCAAACAATCTATCAACTGTTAAAATGAATAATCAGCTAGTAAGAGTATAAACTGTACCATTACTCAGTGGCTCATATTTAGATGTCAGTTTTTACATTAGGTTGAGGTTGTTTTGGGCATATTTAGGCCAACAATAAAGACAAAATTCTCATAGTGTACTTTTGTAATGCCTTTTTTAAAACGATATAATGTTAAAAGGGGTTAAACCCAGCAGCTGAGACAGGCCAGTGAGCCCATTACTGGAACCCGATGCGGCACAGGTCCCATATTGTGGAGCGTTCCAGCAAATTCACAGTAACTCAGTCCTTGTTATTTCATTGACCAAGTATATAATTTAAGCTTCTACAGATGAACAAAGACTCGACAGAGTTGACACACGCAGGGCTGGTAAAAGCAGTCAGAAGCACTGTGAAATTATGTGACTAAGCAAAGAGTGAGTTTTTACAGAAAATGTGAAAAGTCCACTGAAGATGGAACAGAGGCTACAAGTAAACTCCCACACACCAAATGAAAGACGTGAAATCGATATGTGCTGCACAACACGTACATATTACAGCCTCAACTAATAATTCAAGTCAACAGCTCTTACTGGAGTACACACATTCATTAAGCTTCAGCAAACTGCAGGGTTTATCTTGCCTGGAGGAATTTAAGATGCCCGGACCAAAGAAAATATACCAGCAGAAAAATGAGGACGCAAATTTATGTATATTTCAAACGGTTTTGTTAATTGTGGCTTCACTTACTAAAGCACAATGGATGTTTATGTTTATGAAAAGGTCATAAATAACAGGGAAATGCACAGATTTCTGTCAACTAAAGCAGCTACTGTGATGCCTGTTCATCTCCCAAAGACTACTCTTAGAAAGAAAAGACATTCTGAATTGGTCTTTTTACTGTCTACAGCACTTTTGTGAGTTTGTCCATTAGTTGAGTCACCAAATCTTCCACACAGGAAGATTTTATCAGTAAGTCAAAAAAGGGGGAAATGTGCGGGGTTGAGAGAGATATAGGAGGTGTGAAATGTATTCAGCTGCTTAAAAATGTGTTTGTGAGAATCATTTTGTGATATATTTATACACACATTAAGGAAGTCAGTTTTAATGTTTGGTGTTTTTTTTAGACCCTCCACTGATTTTACAGAATAAAGATCAGTTTATTAGTCAGATGGAAAACTCAACCTGCAAAAACAGTCATATGGGATATCTGAAGGATTCTGAGGATGAAGAAAATCCCCTATTTTTAACAGAACATCTGTTACAAAGTCTGAATTACAGAGAAGGTCCAAAAAAGACAACTTCATGCTTCATAAGTCATGCTGGTGCTCTATTTAACCTATATGGATCTACTAATTATACATTTTACTTTAAGACCAACTTAATTACTTTATTTGTTTTTATAATGCCATAATTAGTTAATGTGTGCCCTTTATTTTTTACTCTTTTGAATCACATGACCTTTGTTGCTACACCAACGTATTTCTCTGGAGAATTACAATTGGAAAACAAAGTAAATACTTAAAAAGCAAGCTTATCTTAAACTGATTTCAATAAATAAATAAATAAACAAACAAATGTGACAGCGATGTTCTACTTTTTGCATATCTGACCCATGAGCTCAGTAATGTGGTGATCTTAGGCTTAGTCCACACAAATACATTTACATTTTAAAATGCAGAACTTCTGATTTTTAAATTTTTTTTATTTATTTCTTTTTACTGTCCACACTACTCCAGGGTTTTACGACTCCTAAACAGAGACTTTTGGAAACGATGCTGATCCCATTTAGTTTGAAAAGTCTGGGATTGTGTTTTGACCTAGACAGGCAGACACTGACACTTTTGTAAGCAATGACACAGAACCACGTTTGCTTAATGATTTGGTCTCATCAGTGACGAACTGTTCTTCCCTGATTCGTCACAGCCCTATCATGTGGCAAAGATTTCCACTGCCTCTAGCACCTTGTACTCGTGTTGCTGTCAGTGACAGTTCAACCTTCTAGTTTGTCAAAGCAAAGACATTTCTGGTCTTTCTTTAATAACTGTGCATTCACATGAATAATCGTGTGATATGCATTTTTAGTCGCGTTAGTAAACTGAGAACATTTTTAAAATGGTGCTGAAAACAAACAAACAAAAAAAAACATCATTATTGGTGCGGATGTAGCCTTACTCCGGATCATCCTCCGGCTCCCAGCCCTCCAGCTCTTTGCGACAGAAGAAACACATGGCAATATCAGGGCTGTTCTCTGACGGTGTGTGGATGAATCCAGCTTTGGCCATCTAGAAGAACAAATTAATATAAAGACAACACTGAAAAAAAAACATTATGCTGTTTAATGTAATACAGAAATGATTAGTCAAATAACTGACTAGCTGAAAGAAAATTAACCAACAACTTTATAGCTCCATAAATCCAACTAAATCAACACCCAGAGTAACTGATCAACTGACAGAATAATCAATATCAGACATGTTGCAAGCAAAACATTTTCCATTCCAGCTGTTTAAATGTGCTCTGTTTTAGTTACATCAATGTAAATGACAAATCTTTTCATTTTAGACTTGTGACAACCCTGTCACCTGGTTTCCTGTTAACTACTTGGTGTGGTGGGTTTCCCTGGAGGCGATGGAGGAGAGGGCACAGCAGAGGGTTAATCAGTAATGCTGGCAACACCTGAACCTAGTGTGCCTGCGTGGCTTCTTAAACTTTCTCTGGAAGCTCAGTTTCTGACGTTCTCCTCCCTGAGACACATATTTGGTTTCATTGGCAGCTGGCTGGTTTGTGTTTTTGCACCATCCGACATTTTACTCACCTACACTGCTGTCGTACCGACTAAACCTGCCACGGTTAGTTTAAATTCTATTATGTTTTGCTAATACATCATTTGTTATGAGCTTAATTGTGTGTGTCTCCCTTTGTTGTCATGGCTGAGCGGCATGGTTTGTGACAGAGGGCTGTCAGGCAAAACAACAACCAAAGAAAATATTTGTCATAATCAATAACGGAGCCATCTGCTGTTAATGTGTTAGTATCGTAATTTTAAAAGAGAAGGTTTTGATTTTTATTTTTTCCTGTTCTATATCACTGTAAATTGAGCATATTTGAGATTATGTAACTTCAGAGTTGGATAAAGTGAGCTCTGGCTATTTGCACAGGTTTTCTCAGATTTTAAAGACTAAATTGTTAGTCAGTACATTGAAGCTTAACTTGAGATTCAGTTTCTAATAAAAATGCTCACTAGTGGCACATCATTTATGTTGGCAAATTGAAAACAATGGTATCTAACTCAACACAATCCTGTGTCTGAGCTCCAAGGTATGCAGCTATTTCTTCAAAATTATAGCTAATACTACTGACAAGAGCTACACCAACTTTCGAAAAACTTCAAACTAGAGCGACCTTTATTACATTTAAACCTACAAATGCAGGCTACGTACGGCTATATTCGAGTAGCAGTGTTTCTGTTTTAAAGCTAAATGTTGTTGTTGTTGTGTTAGCTAGCCATGCTAGCTGTAGCCAAACGGAACCGTTGTAAACGTTCACTCACGTTCTCCGGGGTGCACATGCAGTCCTCGTCGAACGGCCAGCCCTCGAAAGTTTTCAGTCGGTTCTCATAAAAGTACATTTTGATATCTTTTTCGTTGAACGGGTCCATTGTATTAGGGATAAAATAAAAGAGTTTTACTTTCTGCCAAACCCGTGTGTCACGTACGCTAAGAGCTACCGAGCTAAAGGGCGTTTTCAAATTTCGGACACTTTCCAATTCGGCTCTTCTGATTGGATGCAGAAGACCGTCAACGTCACCAATATTCTTCTTCGTGGGTGGAGGAATAATACAAAATGTGCACCAGCGCGCCACCCAGTGTTCTCTTTTCCAAGCGGCGCCAATATCAAACATATACATAGAAACTACCATGAAAATGCATTCAATTGTATTTTAAAGAAACCAGAATATGTTTTACTCTTCTCGCTGACCCATTAAGCCTACGAGCGTGTCAAGAAGGAATTTCGAGCACGAAAACTACAACCGTCTTCCAGTCTTCCCTCAGTCTGTAGTTTAGCCTGTTCGTTCTTATGGGAAATGTAGTTCATAGCCGTGATTGGTCAAAGACTCGACCCGCGGAACTTGGTGAGAGTTTTACATCCTGCTTCTGTCAACAAGCGGTTCAGGATTAACTTTCACGTTGTCACTCCTCACTCAGTGTCAGTACTGAGTTTATTAATATCACATATGGACACTTGATTTCTTCTTTTTTTCCCTTGTTTGTCGTCTTCTTGTTCTTCTTTGGTTATGGCAGCAGATTGTGCTGTGGAGACATGGACAGAGTTCGGTTTTTTAGGAACATCAGTCACACCGAAGGTCAGGTTTGGAACAGATGTGTTCATCTGCACTGGCAGCGACGAGGTCTATGTCTTCAGTACTCACGAGAGACGACTCAAGGCGAGTGACTGGTTTAGTGAACATCTAACAAGCAATTCAATCACAATGTTGCCCTCTGGATAAGTAAACTTGCAAAGATGATGTGTACTCATTTTCTGTTTGGCTGTCATGATTGTTGTTGTTGCAGGCTGTTTTCCAGTTACCTGGTCCAGCGACTGATCTGGTAGAAAGCCATGACAAGCAGCTTGTCTATGTGGCATGTGCGAGTGGAGTTTATTGTGTCAACTTACAATCTCTGCTACACAGGTATGAACCTGCTTACTTTACTGTATTCACAATATGCAGTAACAAGGAGTACACCTCTGTGCAGTATCACTTGAATGTAAAAGTTTAAAAGTGAATACAACTGTGATCACTGAAACAAATTTGGGTATACTTGTGGTTTCCAATTAGCCTGATGGATATGGTTAGAAAATAACCTGTAAACACCAGAACTTTCTCAGTTTTGAACCTATGGGCTGTGTTTGTTTGTCATCATCATCTGCTTGTAAGACTTCAAAAAGATGGAAATGGACACAGGAAGACCACTGACCACCTAAAAATCAGTTAAAATGCAGTTGCAGCAGTAATCAAGAGGTACACAATGAGCCATAGTACCACTAATCAGAGCCCAGTGGTCTTTGTACCAAAATGATGGCATGAACAGGGTGCTACTTGCACAATCTAGCTCTGAAAAACAGATGAGTATGTGCATCAGACTTGGCACAGAGGTTATCAATGGAAATTAGGGGTTTTATGATATGATGCGAAGGACATTGCTCTCCAGTAGGTGTCTATATTTATATATATGCTTGCTTGGTCTTTGGCGCTAAACTGCAAGATGAAATTTTGCTAAAATGCAGGAAAAGAAGCCTAAAAGAGAATGGGATGGGATGCATATTTTGGCCAAATGAGACCAATTTGTTGGGTTCAGTTGGGGTCCAGCATGTTTGGCATGAACCTAGCTAGAGCTACCACAGTGGATGCATAGTTCTACCAGTGAAACACTGGTATCAGAATGGGACAATGTGGAGCTGCATGAGTGAAAAAGGCGGCGGGAAGATAAGATGGTATCTATAGATGGCAAATGACCTCCTGTTCAACTTAGAAGTCCTGCAGTAACTGTGAGATGACACCATTTTTAGTCATTTGGTGTTTAGGTGATGTTGCACAGAGGTCTACTCACTTCTGTTGTGTTCTTCTTTTAAGTCAGAGATGATCTCACTTGGAAGACTGTCCTCTGATTTATACATTTATCAAATACCTCTCACTTAATAGGACTTTTCACTTCTGCAGTTCCCAAAGCGCCCCACCTGAATCATCCTCCAGTCCCACTGAGCTGAAGATTTCCTCTGAGTTTCTTGTCATTGAAGCAGATGGAGTGTCGTCTCTGCTGCTTGTTGGCTCTGTGCTCCTGACCCTTTGCCAGACAGACTCCTCCTGGTTGATGACTTTGTATAAAACACCAGAACAAACACAGTCCAGCAGCTATGAGGTGCTCGGATCCTTCAGTCTGCCACTGGTCTCAGCTGTTGTACAAGATGACACTGAGTCGAAGGGCGGGCGGAGAAGGTCGTCTGTGCTGATTTGTGTGCATTCCGGTGATACAGCACCATCAACTGTACCTCATGGCCACTTCCGCCTCGAGCCTGTCCTCTTCAAACTTCTGTTTGGGGTCGAAGCTGCTCTCGCCAAATCACCGGTGATCGTCTGCGGCCTGCCAGATGGACGCCTCTGTTTCCTGCCTCTGCGTCTCCCAGGATCACGGCTTCGAGTCCTGCACAGCCTCGAGCAGCCAGTTGTGTTTGTTGGAGCATCTGTTGTCATGGAAACGGGCCCAGGACATGCACAGTGTTTGGTGGCAGTGGGTGGACAAGGCAGAGTGGTCCTGATCAAGACTGAGAAGGGAGGGCCGGAGGACGGGAGCAGCCTCGCTGGTTTCACAGAGGTTTGTGTATCAGGGCCTGTGGAGTGTGGCTGCGTGGATCATAACTGTCTTTACTACAGCACTGGTTCAGATCTGCTGCTACTAGATCTGTCAGAGGGATCATCTGGGAAAGAAGGCAAAGAAAGGGATGACAAGACATCCAGCAAGACCACAGCAGCTCTTCACAGTCCCACCAGTTTAAATGTGTGCAGAGTCGTCGCCTTGGCTGAGCCGACGTGCAACACAGCAGGTGAGCAGAGTGTCAACTTTACAAACGTCCACTGATTTCCCTCTGTCAGCCGCTGCTTTCAGTACTGCATATAAATGGACTTATAGACAGGTGTGATAACTCAACTAAAGGAACTGACACTGGTTATGTGTGTTCAAGTGTGTCTCAGTCAGGTGATAAACAGTTTTGGTGGAAAGTAACTAAATACATTTAATCCAGCACCGTACTCAAGTACAATACAGAATTACTTGTACTTGATTCTTTCCATTTTTATCAATTTTGTACTTCCACTCCTCTGCATTTCAGGAGAAAACATTTTCATACTTTTTATTCAACTACATTTATTGAACAGCTTTAATTACTTTCAAAATGAAGATTTGACACAATGGATAATATATAACACACTTTAAATGCAACACATAGGTAAAGATTAAAGCAACGGTTTCCAAACACTCTGGCTGCCGTCGTCTTACAGAAATCAGTGTGTACTCGGGGTCACACTTGAGATTTCTAGGATGTCTATGTTGTTAATGCTTCAAATGATCCACTGTCTCACCAAAAACAAGAGTCCAAACACTTCCTTGACAACAGATTTGTGTAGCAAACCTCATTTTTTACTTCTTTCCTCTCAGATTTATGTTCAGTCTCTGTGTATAAAACTGTATATAAACTATCTCCACCTGCAGCAGCTACAACAGTAACATGCTGCTGACACACTGATGCTTCACTTTTAGTAATCTAATGAAGTCATATATAATAATATATCTGTCAGAGGGACTAAACCAATACTTTTACTTGAATGTTTTAACTACATTTTGCAGATTTTATTCCCTTTCATTTAAGAAGGACTTTTAATGCAGTATTTTTACTTTGCTGTACTTTAACTTAGGTAAAGAATCTGAATACTTCTTCCACTACTGGGTGTATAAATTAGTGGTAGATACAAGTATTAAATAACAAATTGGTATTAGTTTTTAACTCTGTATCTCTAAGTTGCGTCTGAGGTGCTCTTGGAGTTCATTGGCATTGGTTATGTCATACACTCATGTAGTTTGTGTTACTTTTAGTTTCTGACAGTTTTTCCTAACTTTTAAAGTTGTTCTTACACATCAGGGCAAGTCCAGCTGCTGGGACTGTCTGTCAGAGGGAAGCTCCAGAGGATTAGTTTACCTGTGAGGAGAAAGGAGGCAGGATTGTCTAAGCAGGTGGGCCGAAGCGTCAGAGACCTCCTGTCTGCTATCGGGGATGTGTGCGAAAGGTATGTTAAACAAACATGACAAATCTGAGATGAAACACAGCAGGGATTTGTTGCCATACTGTGTTTTTCTTTGCTTTCTTGTAGAGCATCAGTGCTGAAAACAGCCATCAAATCCAAAAACCAGATTCTGAAGCACCTGAATCAGGTGGTCAACATCAGCTTCCTGCTCACAGCCACTGCAAATACTGAAGATCATCTTCCCATGAAGGAGAAGCCAATCAGATGTCACGCCATGACTAGTTGGAGCAGATTGCTTCAAAAAGACTCCTTGAATCTTGCGTGTGTCCTGGAAAATTCCAGTCTTTATGTCCTGGAACGAGGCTGGACACTGAGCATCACGGTGGTTCCTTTGTGCTGTTCTTCCACCGCAGGAGAGGAAAGCTCCTCCACAAATTTTTTATTCCCATTCCAACATCTCCATCCAGGGGAAACTTTAGAGGTGTCGCTGCCCATAGCAGCTGCAGGCGACTCATCTTTCCCGTTGACTGTGAACTGCTCGCTCATCTTCTCCCTCTCAAGTCTCCTGGGAGAGGAGGGGGCAGCGAGCTGTCCTGGATGGCAGAGTAACATCAGTTTGCCCTTGAACACACTGACAGTGGACTGGCTGCACGCCCTGCACCTAAACAATCCCACAGCCAGGCATAAAATGGTCACATTTCAATCCAGCAGCATCACAACAGACCCCATCCAAGCTTTCATAAGCTCACGGCAGATTAGGCGAAGTAGAGGAGCCGACAGAGGAGGAGAGAGCGTTTCAAGACCGGAGAAGTATTCGGCGAGCGTGCGGGTGTCTTCAGAGCTACTGAGAGAGTTGAAAAGCTCTGATTTAGACCCCAAGGCGCCAAAGCTGGCCCCTGAAAACCTCTGCCTCTCTCTGCTTGAGTGGCTGTTGTCTGAAAGTTCTGGAGGAGTAAAGATGGGACACCAAGGAGATAAGGTTGCAGTGAGCAGCTCAGTGGTCCACGCTCATGGTCCAAATGGAGCCACAGTCAAACTGACTGCGAAAGAGGTAAACCATCATCTAATATTATATTCAGGAATATTTAGCCGAGCCATTTTATCTTAAACCATTGTTCAATGCATTGCTCCTGTGGTCTCCAGATAGAAGTCAGGGAGGAGAACACAGAGAAGGATGAGCGTCTGACTGCAGCAGAGGTTCAGGTTGAGAGCTCATCTGTAGCAGCAGTGTGTGGACTACATCATGCTGTGCTGAGCCGGATACAGGTACGAAAACACACACTGCCCACCTTAAAACCATTCATAGAGAAGTTTAAAATCAGGTGACTTGCATCTATCATTTGCACATTTTGAATCTCTAATGTTACAGTAAGGATGCAGGCTACATCATTTCTTAAAGTTACAAAGATTTTGCTTGAGTTTTGTTGTGCTTAATGTTTTATTCCAAAGCAAACCTGGAGAGTTTTGCAGCTTACAAAGCTGATAATTTGCTTTAATTTGCACTGATTAAAGGAGGATAAAAACACAGTTTTTGTGGCAAACTAGGGACTGAGAAAGAAGTTTCACACAGCAGGTTGTATGCTTTGTAGAACAGTCAGTATTTTAGCATTTTTGAAGTGCAATCAAAAAACTATTTGGCTGTGTTTTTAAAAAGCAAAACAGTACCTCATTTTAGTTAGATCGCCGTCCCCTTTCTTGTGCAACATCATGTAAAGTATTATCTGTGATGTGTGCTGGATCTACTGTGTCAAAATGACAGACTTGAATTTCATTTTGGGGAAAAGGGAGAAGTCACAGGGAACCAAATCTGATGAGTAGGGCATTTGGCAAATGATGATTGTGTTATTGAGGCCTGAAATACCTGTGTGTTATCCCTGCACCGTGATCATGTGTAGAGCACACACAGTCTGACCCTGGGAGGCAACTTCACAGTGCACAACCATGTGAATGTCAACAAAGTACGCGCATGCTCTCGGTGCACTCCTGACTTAAAACGCCTTCTCTGATCTTGAATGCTGCGAGATCTTCTGCTGAAATCTGCTGTTTGATCTACGGGTTGTAACCGCAGACCCACCTCTAATCAACAGTGCTGATCCTCCACATGAAGGTCAGATCATCCAGCTGCTGACTGACTGGCCATGACCACAAAAAGCACATGTAGCACAGGTCTAGATGCTGATTGCACAACATCATGTGTAATTCCTGAAAAGGAATTTATCTTTGTGTTGCTTGGTTCATTTGACAATGAGGCTCAATTACGAGTAATCTTTTCTGATGACTGTAGCTGTAACTAGACGGCAGACATAACTCTGATTAACCTAGACTCAGTTTGACCTCATCAGGCTTGAGAACCATGTTTTATGCCTAAACCTGTAGATGAACACATGAAAGAGTTGAACTTAAAACTGTTCATGCCCTGTTGCTTGATGCAGATTTTGCTGCAGAGGGCTCCAGAGAAAGCTGCTTCCATGACCAGGGTGCCGATTTTAAGTTTAAGACAGGCGCTGCAGCGGGCCGAGGTAAAACCTACATGTCATTTATTTCTTTCTGTAGATCTACAACTTTGAATGATTCTTATAATTGTCTTTTCTTAGAAATCAATAATGAACAGCTAGCACGGCAACAACATAAACAGGGACCAACCAAAACACCAGTTTTGTGTCATTAAACATATGAAATTATTCATCAACTAAATCAATTTATCGTCTGTTGAGTTACTGATTCATTGATTATATTGTTTAAGTCTTTGTGTGAAAGTTTTTGGACGCTAATAAATCTATCCTCATATTTGTTAAAACCCATTTAACCCAGGACTTTTATAAAAACCACACAGCTGCGGTGTCTATAATTGTGCTGAGGCTAAAGTATCTCAGTGTTGACTCTTTCTGAACTTACTTCTTGTTCCCGCCTCCACTTATGTCAACAGATCCAGCAAAGTCAAATCTCAGGGGCTTTTGGCGTGGGCATGACCACAGGGCAGACGAGCCCATCTCTTCTCAATGTTTACCAAGAACTCAGACAAAATCCTCTCCTCATAATTTAACACCTACACAGCTGCCTTCAGCTCTGCTCGCTCTTTGGTCATCTGACTTTGCGGCTGGTTTAAAAATAACGTCCATTCATGATGCATAACGATTGCCACCGTAGACATACACATTGTATGTGATATTTTACTTGTGGCTTGGCTTTGAAGACGTTTGCTGATGTATAAATTTATTTCATTGTTCACACGATAATAAATGTTATGAAGATTCACTCATTATTCTCATGTGAGTCATTATTTTTCGCTGTTACTGTACACATTAGACGGCTGTAATATTATAGCTCGCCCACGTCACCGTTTCTTGTTGGTTTGCAAATCAATGCATTTGGCACAAGAGCTCAGGTGCGGTAAATATATTCGCAATTACAGACCGAAGCAAAGAACTGTCTCGCAGGTTGGTGATAGGTTCACAGTCTCCCCATGTGTCAGACATGTAGGTGTAAGAGTGACATAGGATCTGATGGAACATGGCAGGTCAATACATCTATAAACAGGCTAGAGGAAGTTGCAGAAATGACAAATTCCGGAAGTTGTTCGTGGGTAGAAGGGTGTCTGAGGAAAAAAATGTCCAATACTGTACATTGACGTCACATAAAGTGGCACCCAGAATCTTGTGACTTTTGACAGATCCTAATGATTTCAAGTGCTGAATGTTCTGGTGATAACCTTCCCAAACCTGAGCAAAGAGATTCGAGTGAGAGGTTGGTGAGCGCTATCATGGCATTACGTCTAAAAGGCTCTGCAGTAGGACATGCTGCTGCTTCTGGTTTAAAACTTCATTGAGGTTTTATATCAGTAATAGTGCTTTGATGGTGGTTGGAATGTTTGGATCAGAAGAAAAAAGAAAAAATGTCGCATAAAAAATAGAGTAAAATGAGCTTTATTTGTTGCATGTCTTTGTGTATCTGATGCATTAACAAATCACTCCATGTCAGCTATGATACGTGCTGCCATGCTTTTTATTACAGCCCAGTACGGTATTCACACTATCTCATAAAGACAGGAAATCAGAAATTGAAATTGACAAGGGGGTTTTATTTTTGTTTGTTTTGTTTTCAGAAAGTCAGAATCATTTCTATATTTTGCTCCAATCCTTTCATTACACTGCACATACACTACGAAATACACATATACCATCATTTATTTCCTCTGACAATTTCGTTCCAAGGCTTTAAAACGTATTTTAATGTTGAGAATTCGCAAGACAGAATCTTTCATGTTGAGGGACACAACAATACCGACCATTAGGTGGCAGCGATGTGACTGTATGGTTAGAGAGAACCGAACAAACCGTGAGTGGATGATGTTTTACTGCAATACTTCTGTTCAGTCCAATTTATTTATTTAGAGGCAGTTTACAATTTGAGTCATACAATAACATATTGAGAAGAGTAGGGTGACCATATTTTCATTAACGAAAGCCACTCGGCCCAGCATTGAGATACTCAAATG